TTCACCGTGTCCATCCATTTCAGCTCCAAGTCTGTCAGAAGGAAGAACAAATGAGTCAGCTGCAGCAACTACTCGTTAAACGCTGTAACTTATCAGAGCTCTGTTTGATAGCTGCTGACTTATAAAAATAACAGTCTTTATAAATCTGCATCGGTTATCGGGTTACCCAAGGCTTATATGTGCGAATGTTTGCTTGTGAGAGCAGTTAGCCGGAGTTCAAAGGAGCTGGCCTCGCAGCCTGTCAAGGAATGCGCTGGAAGGAACCAGGTTTCGTAAGATTTGAGTTTCAAACTTTATATAAATTTTGAAACTAAAATCCAGTCTTTACTGGTATTGAGCCCCGCTTCGTGTGTCTCATGTGTTGGTCGACGAGGTGGAGACACACGAAGCGGGGCGGAGACACAACCATGACACAACCATGTCTCCGCCCCGCCCCGCAGGCTGACCAAAATGGGAGAAAAATGGACAAATACTGCCTGTTAATACTGCCTGTTTGAATGAGTCTCAGTTTCTGCTGCAACATTCAGATGGTAGAGTCTGCAGTAAACAGCTTGAAAGCATGAATCCATCCTGCCTTGTTCAGGCTGCTGGTGAAATGCTGTGGGGGATACGTTCTTGGCACACTTTGGACCACTTAGTACCAAATAAGCACAATTTAAACACCACAGCCTACCCGAGTATTCTTGCTGACCATCTCCATCCTACGGTGTATTCATCTCCTGATGACAGCTTCCAGCAGGATAACACAACATGCTACAAACTCAAATCATCTCAAACTGGTTTCTGAACATGACAGTGAGTTGTGTTTTTGTGAGTGTGTGTTCATCAACTTCTCTTCATCCAGGCTTAGCATCAGCTTCAGCCAGTGGATGATTACGACTGGTGACCTTGAGATGCCATCACAAAATTAATAAATACATAAAAAAATACAATATAATGTTTTTCCCAGTGTGTAAATCCAAATCAGTTGCTTATGTTTATAGGACCACCTTGTGTCTTCCGTTTATACTTTATTTTCCCTTGCTGTAAGAGCTCGGTAACACAGAAATTTCTCTTCCATTGGATAATAAAGGCCTATTCTATTCTATCAACTTCAAAATGTTTGTCTGGAAAGGTTTTTTTAAGAAAACAAATTAGGACAACATAACAAAAAAAAATCACTTTTTATTGTTTTCATTCATGCTCAATCGTCCAGGTAAGGAAATCCCTAAAAATGATTCTGTTCATCTGGACGTGGCGTTTTTAGTTGAAGAAATTCTACTAAGTGACTTCTTCAGTCTCAGCTGACTGCAGGTTTCCTGAACCCTGTAAACAGTACATTTGCATAATGACTTAAACTAGCACCACTAGAACAGGTGAGTCGTCAACCTAGATTTAAATAAACTGAGTGTTTCAGCTGATCTGAGGCTTTCTGGGAGTTTGTTCCAGATATATGGAGCATAAAAGCTGAATGCAGGTGAGAGGGCAGGTCCAGGCGGCGGAAATACCACACCAGGTTCCAGAAAATGATTGGGTGCTGGCTGAGGAACTTGTGGGTGTAGATTACCTGGACAGATAAACCACAAAGTGTAACTTAAAGGATCTTGAATTTGCTGGCTGACACTTGCTATATACATAAAAACACAAGAGAATGTCTTTATATTTATACCTGATCTCCCTCATTCTCCAGCAACGTTTCCAGCTCCTTGCGCAGTACCAAGGGGCTGAGGTACGGCACAGACACTGGTTTGGGATTTGGCCGCTTTGTCCCCATGCCGTCCTGTAAACACACAGAATTCCACTCATTGACTCCATGCGGATAAAAGCACTACTGTCAGTGAAGGCTTGGAACAGAAAGGAGGCACTGACTTGCACTTCCTGCAAACTGCAGGGAAGGCTGGTGGTGGAGACGTCTTAGAGAAATTCATTTTTGTGTTTTTAACTATGGCACAATAAACTAGTAAATTCACTGGACAAAAGGAAAAAAATGTAGTTTCATTTCATCTTTTTTGTTGAGCCTGCTTTTGAGGGGCTGCGGTATCTCACCAAACCATTCTTCAAAATGTTCAAGTACAACATAATATGAATATTAAAAAATAAAAAATCTAGACAGCAGATTATAACCAGAAACCCAACTCACCTTACAGGATAAGAATTCCTCCTCTACAATGAAAACAGTCGGTAGTTGTTGTTCATGTAAGACGCTCAAACTAATAAAAATCACGGAGAACTCACCGCTGATCAAATCCCCTATGAGGGTGTTTTGAAGAGAAGGAGGCATCTTCATCAGCTCCACTTTGAATATTTTTTCCACTGTGGCCAGCGTGTTCTCCATTTTGACCTCCAGCTCATTTACGCGTTCCTGCGCTGTAAGGAAAGATGGATGAACGTCAGAAGAAGTATGAAGCTTTACGTGTGTGCGGCTGCACCTCACCTTCTTTCTCAAACTGTTGAATGAATAGAGCCGGCTCAGCTCTTCTTTACTCTGCACGCTTCTTGTGTTTTCGTCCGCCTTGGCGCCATCTCCAGACTGTTCTCCACGGCCGCGCATCCGACGCCGCAGCACTTTTAATGAAGATATCCATGCACTCAGCGGAGCAGAAGTAATGAGGTTATTCTAGAGCTGTCCGTGTTTGCTTGGCGGAATGATACACCTAAGATTCACAGTGATCAACCACAAAATGTGAACTAATGTTAAAGAAACT